GTTGAATAGCAATCACTTATTCATTTATGATTTCAGTTTGACACCACATACAACTATTAACGGTACGCACAATATGGGCTGTAGCAGATCAGTACCAATAGCTGATTCTCTCAAGATCTCATCCATATATGACGTGGCGACGATTAGTCATTATTTTTTCCACTTGGCTAGGTTTAGGAAGGTAATAGTTTTAGAGAATATCTTTTGAGATGACAGTCGTTGTATGAAAACTGGGGAACTGTGTGTCTGTGATCAAAGGCATTTTGAGGGCCGAAATCAGCTACATGGAAGTTTACTTATCAAACGAATAGACAGGAACTTTTTATTGAGTGACTCATATTTCAGCCTACATAGCGAGAGCTTGCATAATTCATTCATCCATCATTATATTTCTTTCTTTTGTGGTATGAGTTTTATCGAAAAATGACTGGTAGTTCCTTGCGAATTCGAAAAGGGCTGTTGTCCGTAGTCGTTACAGCTAGAAAAATCGGTATATCATATAGTCATCAGATGACAGAATCAGAGTTCAAATTCGCTTTTCAGTTTTTTTTATTATATTCAAAACTACCAATGCAGTTATCTTGGTAAGTTATTCTATTCTATCTCGTTTGATTGCTTCAGGTAAGTTCTCGATTGTGATAGACCGTCGACACGTCGTATTTTTCATTTTGAGACTTGATCAAACACTTTCTCTCTGTCAGCATCATGATGATGTTTGGACGCACTGATGACATGCCAAGGATGATAAAAAAATGCATGTTAAAAATTCTTTTCTCACTCACTACTGACATCATTTTCGACACATAATTGTATAAATCCATCGATATCATGTCCAGAATAGAATGTAAACCCCTATATCGTGCCCTTGCTAATCGTCGTTGCCATTATTTGACCGTTAGTTAGAAATCTCGAAATTTCTTTTGATTCTCAGATAACCTCCCAGTTTGGAAACTTTTTTCAAGTTGATGCTATTGCATTTTTATAACAGATAATCTGTTATAGTATCATTTCCAGCATCAAGCAAGCTATCATCGAACAAATATTGATTGATTCAATCATGTATCTTCAAGCGAAACTATCCAACGAAGTCGAATTGTTCTTGAGATATGGTAGTTGATATCTTAACACTGGAAAAGATTTTCAGTTCTAGGAAAACAGTGAAAAAAGATCAAACTTGTCTTATATATCATTCGATCGACAAAAGTGTATTTTATTCAGTTTTGTTTTACCGCAACTCTCTCTCTATGAAGTCTAATAATATTTCTAACTAAAACACTATACTTATGTTAAAGCAACAACAACTCACAAGTTATCAAATCAGATTTAGAAAAATTCGATTAGTTCGCTTTATTATCACTTTCGAGAAAGTTCACCATACTGAGGAAGAGTTAAAAAGCAGCTTTATAAACCAGTATTTTTTCTCTCGATAAGAAAATCTTCTTTCATAAATAACTTTTCGATTTCAAAGTTTCAAAGCAAGATATATCGAAAATCTTATTAGCACAAAGAATTCGATCGAATGAATAGTAATCAATATCACAACGAGAAAATTTCGTGAAGGGTCTCTTAACAATGAAACTCTGTGTTGCTTCATTCTGTGTTGTTGAGCTCTTCATTGTACTCTTTATTTTGAAATTAATAAGCTTCACCATCATTCTGATAATTGCGGAACTGAAATGGGAAGAGTAGGTAGTTATGATACCACTCTTTTTTCTCGTTATATACCTATTGCAATACCATACATTTTTAAACACGTTTTCGGAAAACTTCGATTAGTTCAGACAGAGAAGTCGATATTATTTAGCAACAAAGAGTTTCACATGCATGTTTTCGACGAATTTTACAACGACTATGCTCTCTCGTTAGCCAAGAAGGCGATCGGCAACGATAATAACATATATGAATAGTTCACAGCGATCATCATCATCCTACTAAAACAATGACGCCATTACCATCACCACCACCCTCTACTTTAAATCATCAATTGCACTCAAATGGCATTGCAAAACGGAGCCATCGTACTGATCTAGATGATATTGTTCAAAATTTTCTTTTGATTTGGCTTGATGCAAAAGTTGATGAATCCAGCGAAGGCTACAGTAATTCAATCAAACATCTGCAACGAACTGTGAATATTATTGAAACATTTCAAGATACGGAAGAATGTGTTGATTACATTTCGAAAATTCAAAATGCAACAGCATTTCTTATTATTTCTGATGATCTTTGTGAAACTGTTGTGCCACGTATTCATGACATGACTCAACTCTATTCCATTTATGTCTTTTGTCGGAAACAGTCTACGTACGAAGAGTGGGCAACAGACTGGTCCAAAGTGAAAGGTATTTTCACAGATATTATCTCAATTTGTAACTCACTACGACAATCTGCTCAACAGTGTGATGAAGATTCGGTCGTGATTAGTGCTGTACCATCGTTGAATCAAATCGAACCATCTTTCATGTATACACAACTCTTCAAAGAAATTATTCTTGAAATAGATTTTGACGAAAACAAAGAAATTAATGCTCTAGCCGAATATGCATGTAAGAAGTATGCCAACAATGAAAAAGACTTGACGATAATTAAAGAATTCGGCGAAGAGTATCAAAGTCACTTGGACGAAAGCAACAAGCCCATTCGGTGGTACACTCGCGAGTGTTTTGTGTACCACATGCTCAATAAAGCACTGGGCACTCTACAAGTCGAGACTCTACTTAAAATGGGCATTTTTATCCGAGATCTTCATCGAAACATCGAGAAACTCCATTCGGAACAATCCAATGAAATGCATGATGACGTAAAAAAAATTAAAGTTTATCGGGGTAAAACCATGACCCAACGAGATTTTGACAGTAAAATTAAACAAGATGGACTCATGTCGTTCAATAATTTCTTATCGACCAGTGACGATCGAAATGCGGCCATTGGTTTTATTAGAGACGGGCTCGAGTCCAATAACAAAACAAAAATCGGTGTTCTCTTCGAAATGACAATTGATCGATCGATTTCATCAGCTCCGTTTGCCCGTATTAACAAAATTAGCTATTTCAAGACAGAAAATGAAATTCTCTTTTCAACACACACGGTTTTTCGTATTCAACAAGTTAAAGAAATTAAAGATGGCGAAAAGACGCTCTGGCAAGTGACACTTGCACTCACCAATGACAGTGACGACAAACAACTTAATGCTCTTACCACACAAATGCGAGAGGAGATCACTGGGACAGGATGGTCTCAAATGGGGATGTTGTTATGGAAACTAGGCGAAAATGACAAGGCAGAACAAATGTACACGATGCTACTCGAACAGGCATCCGATAACAATGATAAAGCCACTTGCTCTAATAATCTCGGACTGCTAAAAAAAAATCAAGGAAAATATACTGAGGCTGTCGAGCTTTACAAAAATGCACTTGATATCTACGAACAAAGTCTTCCTTCTAATCATCTCTACTTGGCTACTTCCTACAACAACATCGGAGGTGTCTATTATAGCATGGGTGAGTGCTTGACAGCACTTTCATTTCTCGAGAAAGCACTTGATATCTACGAAAAAAATTCCCCTTCAAATTATTCCTTGTTGGCTACTTCCTACAACAACATCGGTATGGTACATAAAAACATGGGCGAGTACTTGAAAGCACTTTCATTTTACGAAAAAGCCCTCAATATCTACAAAAAAACTCTTCCTCAAAATCATCCTACCTTAGCTACTTCTTACAGCAACATCGGCGTGTTGTATGATGCCATGTGCGAGTACTCGAAAGCACTTTCATTTCTCGAAAAAGACCTTGAGATCAGGCAGAAATCTCTCCATTCGAATCATCCATCCTTGGCTACTTCCTACAATAACATCGGTTTGGTGTATGATCACATGAGCACGTACTCGAAAGCACTTTCATCGCACGAAAAAGCACTCGGTATCAAAGAAAAAACTCTTCCTCCAGATCATCCCTCTTTGGCTACTTCCTACAACAACATTGGCTCTGTTTATGATAACATGGGCAAGTACTCGGAAGCACTTTTATTTTACGAAAAAGCACTCGATATTTGGCAAAAGTCTCTCCCGCCAACGCATCCCGATATTGAACAGTCGAAAAGAAACATTAAACTCGTGAAGGAGAAATTATAATGGATTTTATTTTTTGCTTGAACAAATGAATTTCGTTCGACGTTTGTCCATACTGATTGCGAGTTTACTTTTCTTTATGATATTAGTATTTACGCACACGTGCGGCCATAGAGTCTCTCATATTCTGCTGAAATAGCACACTGGATGATGTCAGCAATGATGGAGCAATCGTACATATATACATGCTAAGTTTTTAGACAGGTTGGTCGACGGTGAGTAATAGAGATCTCAATGAAAGAGATTTCTAATTACTCTTAGTTGTATGCGTGGTATCTGTGAAAGCTTAGCTAGTTGTCTGAAAACTGTCTGTCAAATTTTTGCGGACAGTTCTTTCCTTGCTAGACAGTCTACAGCATTGTAGTGCCCCCACCTCATCCTCGTAATTTCTCGAGAACCATGGTTGACCCATCTAGTTCGATCTGACCTACCCAGAATGGTACTGATACGGATAACGATCGTCAAAAATTCAGACTTGTTCTCTTTCTTTTCTCATTTGCATCAACTTCTTCTAAAACCTGTGATTTTTACCCAGATCTACGAAAATACAATTAAATTTGCAAGACCATGAAAGTAGAACATGTAGGTTTGCAACTCGATCGATTTGCGACTGAATTTTCAACAACCAGTCGATGCTGATATCAAATATATGTATGAAGATCGGTGTGAGTTTAGATACCGGTGTCACTGCAAGTGTGAATGCTCATGTGCACGTTCGTGTCCTTGAGGATACTGGTGCAGCTGTTACTCTAGCTCTTCTCTGCATCTATTTCTACAATTTCATTCATATTCACACCCTCTATTTTCATACAACAGCGCCTCCACCCTTAAAAGTCATAGAAAAAGATTCGAAGAGTAGACAAATAACGCGGCAGTCCATTAATTGAATTCAATGAGAAAAAGTTTATAAAGAAGATCATGGCGAATATTGAGTTTGTAAATAGAATGTATGATTCAGAAAACGCATTTACTATCAAACAATCGTCATGTTGTGTTTGCTTATGAAGAAAGAAAATGAAATCTTCGCGTCATGCCCTAAGCATATATGCAACTTCTTATCACTCTTCTGTGCAAATAGTCAGTGATGGAAGCCTTGAAGCTGCAATATTCACGAACTACAAATTGTACTCAAGAGTTTGATCCAGATGGAGAGTATGCATTCGAGGTACTATGCTCAGAACAAGATACTCGTGAATGTGCAAGATTGACAGCTCATTCATTTTCCAGTTCTAATCCCATGACCGTCTTCAAAGGTATATCACCTGATATATACTACGAAAATGTTGCCTTGCCACTGATGATGTCTGTTATCGATCAACGACTCTCCTTATTCGCTCGACAACGTGCTACAGGTGAAATCGTAGGGTGCATTATTGCTGCAGATTTCTATCTAAAGCCTCATTATAATGTGACAACCATGAGCGGTATTGCTCATGAAGACTTGATTGCTGATCTCGATACAATGAGCTATGGGGACTTCAACTTGGAAGAACAACTTACTCCCAATTCAGTGTTATATTTTCTATTGCAAGCAACAAAAGTAGGCGAAGAAGGCAAAGGTGTAGCCAGTCGATTAATACAATTGGCATGCGACTATGCTCGCAAGACAAAAGGATTTAAATATGCGCATGCACAATCATCGAACCCAGCCATGAGGCATATTTACGCGAAGATGGGCGGTCAGGTGACATCACAAATCGATCCGACCACCTGGATATGGAAAAATGGCGGTAGCGGTAACGAATATCCTTTCAGAGAATGGAGTGCTGGGCCCCTTCCGAACATACGGATCCGCTTGTGATCAACAGCTACATAACTGAATGTTAATGGATTATTGCGACTTTTTGATTTTGCTTGAAAAGGATTGAAATTAAAGAAGTTTTAAATTGATTACTCTAGCTTTCCATTTTAATGAACTGCAATTCTTTCATTAGAATAATTCTCACATAGCATCATCCTCGCGAAACGCATACCTGTCTTGTAATCTGTCTTTCATGTTTGATGTTTATTTCCAGAATCGTAATCTTGTCTGCATTTCTATTTTACGACGAAACGAGCTCGTAATGTATAACGAAGGGTGTGCATGAACACAACACAGCTACATGGATATCCTGCAATTTCTATTCATGTATACAACTACAAATATATTTGCAAGGTCAGACAAATACAAACACAATTCATTGTCAATTCTACACTAAAATCATTCTGAGAAATAAAACTATACAGCAAATCAAACGTATCATGTAAATTTATTTCATAAAGTCCTACAAACAAACTTTCCATTGGAAATAATTAATTAAAACAAGCGTGTATTTTATCATCTATCAAAAAGATTTATATGCACTAGCTCACCTACATATAACAATGATTGTGGTAATCTGTTATCTTTATCAATAAGAGCTTGAAAGAAAAGAAAAACAAGTGAAATTCGTTTTTTTTTCTTATCCAGACCAACATAGTAACTCGAAAACCTCCAAAAAAACTATGACTGTTAATAACATACTGTCACATGCGATATTCTATTTTCGTATGGAAACGTATTTGTTTAACTTTTTTCATTATTGACTTTTGATGTTTTTCAGCATCATATTTATATTACTACATTTTAACGACAATTAAGAGAATTTAATTAAACCCATGTAGTGTTTATAAAGTGAAAACAAAGTTTTGTTTTAATATTTCACAGAGAAGCTGTGAACCTTTCCTCTATTGTGCAAAGTATCTTCTAAAAATAAAAAACGATGTTTAAGAGTTTCCTAAATATATTTTGCTTTGCACTTTTCGTGGTGTTCAGGAAACATTTTCAATTAAATTCTTTTATATATTTTCTGACACTAGACATCTTGAACGTTGAGACAAAAGAAATTTGTTAGTGGACTCTCTGTGGAATTAACATGTAAAACACGATGGAGTTGCTAGTATCGTAAACGAGAGAATTAATCAATATTTACATTTCAGTTAATAAAGTCTAACCTACTGCTAATACATGTCGAGGATGAAAGATATTAATACCAATATACTGCAATGAGTGAGAGGCGTTGCTAAGGTATCTGTTACATCTGTGGCGAGCTTTAAGATAGTATTTCACAAAAAAGGATAAAATTTCTTACAATATTGCATTGCAATACTACATCTAAAACAAAATTAATGCAGAGCTTTAGTTTTGCCTGTTGTATAGAAGCGCGTATGTTTCGACGTCCAAGAGACTTGTCAGTTGGAAAAACTTTTCTTGTTAATTTTATCACTAGGATTAACCCATTTATAAGATACAGTTATCAGTTCAATAATCAAAATGTATCCTACCCTTTCACAATTTCTTTGTTTCTTTAAGCAAATACATTTTATGTGATGTCAGATATAAACTATATCTGTAGAAATTTTCGAAATTTGATCTTTCATACTAGCATTTAAAAGAAGACATTTATTGGCAGATATTCTTTTATTTTTCAAAGAATAGAAAACCACTACAAATATAATGAATTGTTATGAACGATCGTGATTATGATCACCAATGTCAACAATACGAAATGCTTCAAGAAATTCATTAAAATCAATAACACCATTCTTATCAAGATCAATACTTTTTGCTAAATCAATTATTTGTTTTTCATCAAATTTTGATCCATTATGATTACCCAAAAACACACATACATCGGTGAATTCTTGCAACGAAATAACACCTGCATTAATCAATCAAATTATAAATTTTAGAGAAAAAAAAAACAACAAATCAAAAATAAATTTTAACCTGAATTATCTTTATCCATAGCTCGAAAGACTGTTTCGAGTAAATCTTTATTTCGATAAATTGCTTGACAAAAACTTTGTCGTCTCTAGAAAAATAAAATAAAGTAATAAATTTGAAACAAAGAAATAAATATTGTCACCAAGTTTACATTAAGAACTGGAGAATTCAATAGACATTGTAATTCTCGTGAACGAAATGTTGATTCATATAAAACCAATCCATTTGAATCTATATCAACAAGACGTGATTTTAATGTTCGCCATGGTAATTGTAGTTCAAGAACATGCGTTACAATGTCACACCATTCATTAAGAGCTATGCGACCTAAATCAAATAGTAAATAGAGATTTTTTTATCAAGATATAACGACTTAAACATAGAAGAATCATTTTGTCATTCAGACATGTAGATCAGAAAATGATAACTCATGTACCTGCCTTCTTCGATCCAGCCCATAGAGACCTCTGTTAATGATCATACATAACTTCTACTAGCATGATATATTAAACTATCTGTTGGAAAAAGTTAAAATAAGATGAGTGGCCCGTGAGTAGAGTTCGGCGGTTTCGGCTCCGACTCTCGAAATATTATGCGGAACAGAAATCGTTAAATCATCAGATAGATACGAGAATTTTAAATCTATTTTGAGAAATTTTCATTATTGAATTATACATATTGACTGAAATGTTTAATCTTAAAAATCAAAAAATTGAAGATTTCTCTACATAGTTTTGAAAATTTTTGTATCTATCAAGCTTATTCTGTTTTACATGGAGTGACAGACTCAAACTCTCAATAAAAATGACAAGTTTTCGAGCGTTCCATGACATATTCCTACTGAATTACATCAATTCTAAGAGAACTCCAAAAGTAATTTTGGTTCAATTTTCTCTTAGGAAACGGTGAAAAAACTATTTTTAAACATTTCTTAATATAGATGTAGTTCCATCCGTAAATGTAGTGCAAAGCTCGAAGACATGTTATTTTGTAGAGAATCAGTTACTGTAATGCTCTGTGTAATTAAAAAAATTGTTTTTTTTTCGTTTTCTGGGTACTGAAAAACTAGGTTTTAGGTTGTTATAAGAATCCTAGATTTTCGGAGAAAAAAAACTTTTACAATATTAATAATGTAACTCGGATATTGGCTTCGAAAAAAATTCTTCACGATAACTTCAACTTCGATGCAGGACTTTAATGAATATCCTTTCTTTTAATTTCATAACATCTAATCGTTTTTACTGTTCAACCTATGAATCATACCATTTTTCTCAGAGTTCAATTCTACATCTGATAGTGTGAGCTTGAAAACATGTTCTTCTCGAAATATATACAAAAATGTCACAAGATTTAAGTTCGTAGCTCGCTTTTTTTTTCTCATGAACGATAACATTAGTAGTCTTGAAAAAGACGTGAAAGTAGAGAACAAATAATTCAGGATTCGAGTGATCAAAAAAAACAAAAATGGTTTTATTCTATTGTTGAATTTCTTTAATAAAAAGTCATTAGGATAATCTCAAGAATATCTAACTACATGCGAATTATCAGTGTCATTAAATAATATTCTTGTAAAGTTTATAACTTAAAACTTACTCTTTTGTGTAACGCGAATCTGACAGATATTTAGAATAGTCATTATTCTTATTGAATTTCTAAAAACAGCTTACGTGCTTTAAATAATCATAAAAGCCTGATATTTTCTTTTATATAACGATCCTACACGAGTGTAACATTCCGCACTTGGATTTCAGTCGGATTTGGTCAGCTGTGACCAATATTCGCTCAATAGTAAAAACGATTTGATTTAGTTACATATGAAAAAAAAAGAGAAATTATCTTACATTACACAAGAAACGAAGTGAATCACGTGAGTTATTATACACTTGCCTGTCTTTTTTATTCCAACATATATTAAAAATAAAATCAGAACTAAACATGCTCAATGTGGATAATTATGTATCATCGGTGTTTTTCATTATGAGAAAAATTTTCACAAAATCACTTCTTTTAATTATGATACTCTTGTTAAAATATGATTGAATTCTTCTTTTTTGACTTCTTTATTTACGTATATGTATAAATAATAGTTTGTAAGAATCAGAATTCTTATTAATTATTTCAATGTACATAGCTACCAAGTATCACTGAATACGGCATCATAATAGGATTCGATCTGGCAAATTCATTTCATGTCCGACGCCCATATTGATTCGGTAGATTATATTTGTACGCAAGCATTAGATGAGGGAAAATTTCAAATATTCGACTTGCAACGAAATTCCTGCGACTTTCCATACATACAGCTTTATTTATGACTAGAATATTTTGAGAGTTTCAATTCAAAACAACATTTTATTCGTAAGATATTGAATATCGAAACTCCATTAATTTCCTACGAAAAGTGAGCTCAGATTCTTCAGGAATTCAATATTACATGAACAAAACATCTTTTTAAACTGATGTTTTCAGGACACTCTGATCACAAGTGAACCTGTCTGTGAGCAAAATTTCGAATGCAAATTCATTATTTGTTTGTCAATACAAGAGTTGGACACAGGATCGTTAGAATCCTTATTTTAACTTCCCATCATCAATATATACACTAGTTTATTTTGTATCATTTTCAAAATCAACAACTAAAGTTTTCAATAATGACTTATAATATTAGAGAACGAAGTAGATTTCAAAAACAAATATATGATGTCTATGTTAACCTCTTCATGTAGTACTATTTAACATTCCAGGTATCGTTGTTTCAATTCAAAAAATAGATATTAACATTTGCTCGTAATTGTAAAATATCGAGCAGCGTCATAAAATGCATCATTAAAGAGAGATTTAACGTATAATCAATGCATCACTTTGACTCTCTGGAAGTTATAAAGGAGAGAAAACCGGAATAAAACACAGCATGTTTATCTTTTGTTTTGAAAAGTTTCTAGCTGTGAATTCTAACGAAGAAAATAATAATCAACTCATGTGACTTACCAGATTGATGTGGATCTTTAAGTCTAAATTCTTTCATAAGTCGATTTTTATTTGCACTAAATTTTTCCATAAGATTTCGAAGAGCTTGTTCTTCCACATATGATACTCTACTAATACAAATAGATGCAAAAAAAAAGAAAATCTCGTTTCCTCAACAAACCTTTCCCATACTGTTAATGGTCTAACTGTATTTTTTGTTGCCATAAATTGTACAATTGATGGTGGTTGATTTGTAGATATTTTTACATAAGCACCTCGATTACTACCTGCTGCATAATAATTTGATGCTGAAAAGATTGTTAGCACCTATAGATTAGATTTTTGAAAAAAAAAACTTAACAATTAAAATTAATCAATGGATAAAACAAACCTTATTATCATGACAATAATCAAAACCTTCTTCTTTACATTCATGTGATCGAATAAGTAAAGTCCAATTATGTTTTTCTAATATTTGATTTGTTATATCTGGACCCCAATAACAACCTCCACCACGATATGTATTGGGTTCACAACCATTTCCTTGTTTTGGATCACTCCATAGTAAATCAAGCATTTGTCTCCATTCAAGTAATTGTTCATTTGTTAAACCATTTATTTGAACTTGTTCATCATTTTCTGGAATAACAAAACTTGGACTTAATATTGAAATATACTGTTAAAAGAAAACAATATATGAAAAAAAATTATTTTAGAACAACAACAAAAAAAGCTAATACAAACTTTATTTCGTTGAATTCGATTTATTTTATTTAAATCAGTTATATCACTAATACCACCATGCGTAACAAATATACGATCATCAATAAGACTTGCAATAGGCATCCAACTGTAGATATGTTCAAATAAATGTAATAATTTTGTAGCATGAGATTTATATTTTTTAATAATTTCTTTCATAAAGCCATACCTTTGAATATAAAGATTAGTTAAAAAACAAAGAGAAATTTAATGATTATTTTCTTCAAGATAAATGCAAACACTGATAAAGATTGATATATGTATTTTTTGAATAAGAAAATAGCGAGTTACTCTGAATAACAAAACAATATAAGAAGGTTATGAAAAAAAGTGTCCAGCATAATGTTCGCGAGAGAAAAAAAAACATGATGAAATTATTGTAAGATTTCAATGAGAGATTTTAACAATATGACTAATATTTGCACTCATATGAAATTAATTCGAAGTATCCGGAAAGAAGATAGAATTGAAAGCAAGACTGCGTTTTGAAAATATAGAACGTATAACAAAGTTTAAAATTATCACTTTATTGTGAAATACTCAAGGTATTTCATATATATTTAAAAAGATTGTATTAATATTGAATTCGAGAATTTTCTACAAAGGAAAATACTTAAGGTGTCAAATCGCTTTTCTACTGAGACGATGATCATTTAATGAATCATAGAAAAAGTCTAGAATAGTTTGGTTTTCTAAGCCTTCGTTCTTCAAATGTCGAAATTTTACTGGGTTAGCTGTGATGTCTCTCTGAAGTCAAAACTCTCATATAACCTGAGAAAGACTACAGCTGTTGTTTAAAGAACCATCTCGAGAACGAAGGTTCAGAAAATCAAATTAATCTGCAATTTTCTACTACTCACTCGTACTCGTCAAATGAACATAATCTCGGTCGAAAAGTGATTTGACATCAGAATACATTCCCTTGTTAGTTTTTAACTTAAGGTGTTGCTCTATAGTAGATTGAATACTGCTATTAGAGACGAATGCAGTATAACTTTCTATCGAGTTCTGTCACACAGTACAGAATAGCATAACTTGCTATTCTGAAAAAATTGTATTCATTTTCTTTTGCTTAACCCTTTCCGGCCCACTGTACTAAATATAGTACGGTTTTTTCAATTTTCGTAATCTTTGAATAACTCGCGAATGCAAAAAGATATCGAGAAGCGGTTTT